AGCAGGGAGGTGTCGGGTGCCTCGGGCAACGGGAGACTGATAAGCGAGACGGGTGGCGACGCATCTTGCCGAGGAGGCCGGGCGGAGCTCCGGCCGCAGCCTCGCAGGTAACCCCGCTCGCCCCGCGGGGCCGGCCTGCGGTGAGGGTGCCTGACACGCTTCTAGGGATGTGGTAGAACGAGATTGTACTGAGCTCTACCGCACGCCTGCGTGTCTCACCTGTGGATCTACAACGCCCGAACTGAAGGGACGTGTAAGGGGAAACACCCTGGGGGAGTGCAACAATTTCTCTGGCAGCGTATTTCTGCTGTTGCTATGATAAGACAGAAAGTGAAATACAAGCATATCTTATTTACAGCTGCATAAACGATTGGGACTGGAAGAGGCAGCATGGGAGCCCTCTAGATGGAAGGAATGTAAAGAGTTACAGAACCCAGAAAAGTTAGAAAACTTTTGCTAATATTTATTATAGCCTCTCATTGTAGCCTCCAGGTGTAGACTGTTGGGAGAAAATTTGTCCAGTTTTGGATAAAGTAGTCTGTAATGACTTTGCTTCTAACCTCAGGCTCTTTCTCAGGCACCGAATGGCTTTGTTTCCACCAGTGGATTCTGTGGTGGCAGCCACTAAGCTTGTTCCCACTTTCCAGCTGGACCACCAGAAGAGCAACTTTCAGCATGCACTTATACCTTACAAAGAGGAACATTTAAAGGATCTCCATGACGAAAAGAGCCGGAGCTATTTGTATTGTCTTTCTGCAGAAAACAGTCGATACAGCTCCAGGTGTGGAGACTCCTGTTCAGCTGGACTGCAGAGCAAGTATGTCACCAGTCAGACCAAGATTCTGCCAGCTAAATCAGTAGCCTGTCGGAAAGCAGGAGTGGACCGTGCATATCCCCTGAAACCAATTTCTCACCACCAGAGTGTGAGTGTTCAAGAGTTCAACACAGCACAGGTTGGAAGTTCCCCATACATGGAGGAAGCTCCAAATAATAGGCCTAGCTCAGTAAGCAAAGAGAAGCCTCCAGCAGGGAGGTCTCAGCTAGCTGCAGGGCTCTCCCCTTGGACAGCAGAGCCTAAACAGTCAGCCTCCGATGTTTACAGGAGAGAGCTGGCCTACATCCTAAAGCTGGAGGCAGATGGACGGAACCTGGAACAGGAAATTCGAAAGAAAGAGGCCCTCCTCATAGAGAAGCTGATGAGAACAAAGGAGGAGCTTAGGAGGATTCAAAGAGAGAAGGAGCTTGTCAAGGCAGAGGAGAAAAGAAACAGACAAGTGGAGAGAATCCATGAGCAAAAGGCCACAAGGCACACTGAAGAGAAATCTTTCACGGTTGCAGTCCGGCCAGGTGATGGGGTCTCCGGTGGGGTGCAGTCTGCAGAGGCCACTATCCCCAAGCCTGGCACCACTCTCCACCCCCGAGAGCTGGATATGAGGAAACTCAAGAAGGAGCAGCTGGTGGCCAGCAACGGCAAAATTCGAGACCGCGTACCCATGGAACTCTTAGCCTCTTGTTCAAAGCTGGCCCCAAAATGTAGCCCTTCTCCCTCTGCCCTCTCAGACCGAGATTCTGGTGACCACCCATCCGCAGAGGTGCTGTACACGCAGGCTGCTAGTGCTGCACAGCAGGAGGAGCTCGGACAGTGCAGCTTCTGCGGACGTAAGTTTCTCTGCACCAGGCTTGAGAAGCACTCGAGAATCTGTAGCAAGAGTCAAGGCTCCAAGAGGAAAGTGTTTGATTCCAGCAAGGCCAGAGCTAGGGGCACAGGACTGGAAGAGTATCAGCAGTGGAAGAGCTCAGAGATGCCTCAGGTAATGTGCAGTCTCTTTGCCTCCCTTGACCCATGTCTGCTGCTCACGTTCCTTCCACCTCGACATCTAATTCTGACTGAAATGCGAGCACCTTCATGTGTACACGGGGCTAAGGGATGCAATCCAGCTATTGCCTCTGAAAGATTCTTGCCAAATGGATAAACATATCCATTTAAAATCTAACAGATGAGGGGCAGGGGTCCTAACTGACTTGTCTTTGTAATGTGTCAATGTGTACTCCTGGAGAAAGCTCACCCCTTCCTGTAGTCAGGACGCTCAGCATGCAGACTGGGTCTGCTGCAGTAAAACTCTGACATCAGGGGCTGCAGGGAACTGACTGAAAATCCAGGTAATAACACAGGCTATTAAAACAAAGGCAGTGGAAACATGCTGCTCTGTTCCTGCAAAGCAGCTATAGCAACCCTCTCCAGTTCCTTGGCCCTACTGCTTGCTTTTCTGATTGTTCTCAAGCTCTTTCTAAGTATTAATGTCTCTGTCAATATTTGCTTCAAATCCTCCTTGGTGCTGGTCTTTTTGATCCCCTTTGTGGCACACAGCTTCTCAGGGAGGGTTTTACATCAACAGGGAATGCCCAGGGATGGGTGGCCTGGTTTGGACCCCACGCGTAAGATTGAGAATGGAGAGCAATGGTGGTGCCGATTGCTCTGACTGCCTTTCCCTTCTGCAGAATAAGCGACCCAGAAAGAACAACTGGAGACAGAAGCACGAGATTTTAATCCAGACTCTGCGCCAGGCCCGCCAGATGCAGCAAGTCCTCTCCAAGGGACGGAAGGTGTCTGACCTGCCCCCGTTGCCTCCCATTGAAAACCCAGACTACGTTGCCTGCCCCTACTGCGGACGTCGATTTGCTCCTCAAGCAGCTGAGAGACATATTCCCAAATGCAAAACCATCAAGAGCAGGCCCCCACCCCCACCACAGAGGAGACACTGCTGAGGTGGTGTCCAACTGTACTGGCTGTTGTGATTCTCTGCCTGTTTTCTGCCAGCTTTCCAGCCACAGACACTTGTGCCTTCCCTAATCTCAACACTGGCTATGAGTGTTGAGCTTTAATGCACAGCAAGGGAACAGCTCAGGACATACAAGCAGAATACTAGGACCTGTGTACTTTGACCAGCACCCTGGGTTGCCCCTCTGGGCGCCTCTCCTATCCAGTGAGCTCAACGTGGAGTCTCAGTGTAGATGTAGGGCTGTCATGGTTCAGCCAGCTGAGCAGGGAAGAAAGACTTTTGCTGCAGGCTGACAGCGAACAGCAGCGAGGACCAAACCAGCCATCGGAAAGGGTCTGTTCTTTAGAATCATATTTGCCTGTAGGTTAGGGAGGCTTGGGCTTTTTTCCTTCTTTTTTTTTTAACTAGTGGTGTCTGATGTGAAGAGAGCTGCTCTCCTTTAGCTCATGAGTGGCTGTAGACTCAGGTTTTTTCCTCCTCCAAAAGCAAAGAGTACTGCTGTTCTCAAGACAAGGGCCAAGCAGAGTACCTGCCTTTTGTTTGCTCTACTGCTCTGTGAGTGCAGATGGTCACCCCTGAATGCGCTAACAGTGACAGTGGTTCTGGCTGGCATAGCTGGCTTCTTGTAGCTACAAGCAAAAGACCGGGATGCAAGAGGTGGTGCTGCTTTTTGCCATAGAAAGGACTCTACATTCTTCAAAACTATTTAGGATTTAGACAAGGCATTTGGAAAAGTCAGAGGGAGGGCAGGAAGCCATATAAGCAGTTAACTTTTTTGCAGCACATGGACTGCTGTGTTCTTCCATCCTTAGTAACTGTGCTAGACAACAGGATCCAGAGCTGCTGCCATGTCATCACTCATGCTCTGTCCTGTCTGTTGGAGCACTGTTCAGTTGAATAATAAAAGCTGTGTAGGTAAATTTATTCCACACTGTTTCTGCAGCAGTCCAAAAGTTTATTTGGAGGCTTTTCTAGAATGCTGGGGACAATCCCAGGGCTACATCTTACCAGCTGAAGATTGGTAACATTAACCATTTAGAAATCCAGTGTGACATTGTTTGAATTAGGAGAACTGGGAAAACCTGTTAGCTATTTCACTCATATGTTTAGAGTTAAATCAACAGTTAGATTTAATATGAAAAAAAATATGGAGTTTTGCTGCACGCCAGGTTTCTAGGGACCTCTAAAACACACACTTTTCCTTGCGTCACCTGCTTATTTTCATCTTAGTTGCTCCAATGGTAGGGGAATTATAACAAAAATAGATCCCTTCTTTTGCCTTCTTCTCGAGATGTAAGGTAGTTCTTGATGATTTTGACCTCATGCTAAAGGTCTTTGTCAAACACTGTTAAAGGGTCTTTTTGGGGAAATAGGTGTCCTACAGCCCTTTTTAGAGAATCATCTGCTTACAGAAATGTGCAGGAACCATCACCAACTAAGTCAGTTATTTTTCTGGATTTAAATTTTTATTAAATAGACCAGTTCTGTTGTGTAAAAGTTGTTTTAAATGGTCACAGCGTGGTTTGTGTTCTCAAAGTAAGAATGACTACTTTGTGTGAGAAAGTTGCAACAGGAAGCAAACAAGGAACAAAAATTCCAGCAGCTCCTTTTGCAAGCCCTCCAGTAATGTATCAGCAGCTCATGGGAACCTAAAAAAAGATAAAAAGTGACTAGATTAAACTGGACTAGTCAGAAGCTGAACATGAAGAAACACTCTAGCCTTCAATGGGTGCACCTGTCTCCTGAAAGAAGTTGGAGAGCTTCTGCCCTATAAATATGTGGGCAGAAATCTCAGTCCCTTGGCACACACTAGAAAAAGCATGAAGATCCTAGAAAGGGTCAGTGCTGCACTGTGCCAGCCAGGTATGAGGGCACAGACCTAGAGAGGAGAGAAAAAAAACAGACTCAAAACAAGGGAAAATATTTTGCCATATCCAAATTGATTGGAGAAGCAAGACCGATGCTTTAACTTCAGAGCTTTGAAATACAGAATAGCAAGAGGTAGGGGAGGGGTAAACTTGAACTTTTATGCCAGCCTCCTTGAATTAATGAAAGGTGTAACTGAATTAAACAAAGAGTAGTTAAGAAATTCAGTACCACTGCCTGCCTTGTAATATTAACTTCATTTCCCTTGCACTATGTTTTATTGACTATATTTAGTGGACCCTAAAAAAACAGCAGAGTGCAAACGTGACTGGGGTAGATACACACAAAAAGCTTTTAATACTGTAAAATAAATCCATCTGTTGGGGACTTAAGTGACAGGCAAACAGCTAGTGCTGAGCTTGAAACTGTAGATTAAGCAACAGTTATTGAACTTAAGTCACGAGGCTTCATCTCTGTTTTGGAGCTGACCACGGGCAGTTCACCCCTCTTTGCTGAGCTGTTGTTTCACGACAAGACAGACAGCAGTATCCAGTCTCCGGTAACTGGCTGCAAACAGTACGTTCGGCCAAAGCATCAGGCACAGCACACAGATCTACCCTGCAGATTTGCTGTCGTGGTTACTGTCACCCTGGCACTACTCAAGCTATGTTATTCACACCAGCTCAGCTTCCTTTTCTACTACTGCAGTACAATCCCCGTCTCAGAGACATGCCGCACTTCCAGTATCCAAATCTCTGGTGAATTTTAAGTCTTCAAGCCAGCTCTGCCATTTGAGACATTTCACGATTTACTAAAAACCCTAATAAAGTACAGTGCACAGGAACAGCTGGCCGAGCAGGTGTCAGGCACGTTCTCTCCTCTGTAGGCCTTAATGCTCAGTAGAAGCTGTTCCGAGAGAAACAGGTATTTCTTCCCTTTGAGCCTCTCTCTTCCCGTTACTCATTTCCTACTTGGCACTCAAACTGTTGAAATAAACACACACACAAAAGCCCCCTGACATCACTAGGAGGAGATGCAGCAGCAAGAGAAAAGAGTTGGTTTTTTGTTTATTTGTTGTTTGTTTGGTTTTTTTTTTAATAAAGGGACACAGAACCTCACATTTTTTTTCCCATAGAAAAGAACCTACAAACTCCTTGGCCCTATTTCTATAAGCAAAAAAAAAAAAAAAAATTAAACAACAGAATGCCATGAAGCCAGTTGACTATATGCATACTTCCTCTTCCTCTCTTGGAAAAAAAAAAAATGACTCCAAACACAGGAGAATGAGTTTAAACATTTATTTAAACAGAAACTCCAAACCACTCCACCCTTTAACCTTTCAAAAAAAGACAACGACAAACTAGTTTTCAGCCAGAGTGTCAGAGCAGGCATAAGTTGTGTTCCATTACAACAACTCAGTCGCAATACTAGCAGGAGACCAACACATACGGAGCTAGCACTGCAAGACGGGGAGAAGTAAAAAGGGTTTGAGACTGCTCAAAGGCACTTCTGACCACTTGCCCTTCCTCTTTCAGCCCAAGACGAAGGTGCTGGCTTTAAACTGCTTTTTTGGTTGCATAGCTGGCTGGTGTGAAATCCGTGGTCTGTAACAGGCACAACCTGGATAGCGTGAATCCTCTAAGGCACATATGAGATTGCGGAGCACAGGGCATCCTCTGTCAGGGACCCTAATCCTCCACTAGATCCAAGGGGAATCCAGTCTGTGCACCTAGCTTCCCAACTGCAGAGCATTGAGAAATGAGGATAGCAGTGCACTGCAGGAGAGCGACTCCCATCAGCTTGGTGCTTGCTTATTGGACACGGCTCAGGCTCAACTCTTCACTCCTCAAAGGCACTGCTGCAACATGACCAACTCAATCTTATTTCCAACTGCAACAACAACCCTCAAGCCAGGACCCTAACCTGAGAACTGGCTCCAATGCACGTGGGGGAAAGGAGAGCAGAGACACAAGGGCAACCAAGCAACATGGCCCCACCAGGGCACCCGACGCTCACCACCTCCCAGGAGGGCTGTCCTCCTGCCCTTCCTTCAGTAACAGACGGGCACACCAGTATGATCCTTGCCCTGGGCACTGCACTGGAGAGACTGCACTTGATTCAGCTCCAAGATACGAGCAATAGGCACCGAAGAAGTATTTAAGGAGCATAAGTTACAAGCAAATGGTTTGGCATCCACCTCTAGAGACAAACGGGGAATGCTGGCTCCCCCAGAGCAGTCTCTTGAAAGAAGCCTAGGAGAGGTGATCAGATATCCAACTCCAGTAGACCTAAGGCAATTCTAGTGACGTGCCATCAATGGGGATGGTTTAAGCCTAATGAAATCACAACCCACTCTCACAGCAAAGGTGAGAGGGACTCAGGACTCCTCAGAGGCTTCATGTAAGGCAGGGGAGGCTAGCTGCTCTCAGGGATCCTACCAATCCTGTAAGCTTACTTCAAAGTCAGTTTGCTAATAAATTTAAGGGGAATAAAATTAACCTCATTTTGTAACAGGAAATGAGGAAATATTGAGCATCAGACCATGCCTCTTCCCATCTCCAATTTTCTTGGGAAAGCCTCTCAGCTTCTAGAAAGAAGGTGAATTCCGGACAGAGGCTTGATCATTCATGGTCATTGGGGAAGGCTGCATCCTGTGACCACGGCATTAATGACCTATTCTGGGTAGGAAACTGCATTCCAGCTTCATCAAAACACTGAGTGGAAAAACACTGATTCTTCCCACACCCACACAAAGCATGGGCACCAGGGGCTGAGGAGAACAGAAGCCAAGCAGGGAGCAGCTACGGGCTTATGCCAAGAAACCAGAAGCTCTGGCACCCAAACCGAGTTGAACAGCTGGAGCAAGAAATGGGTGACTTAGTCTGACGCCCGGACGCTTGTCGTCTGGTTGAGAAGCAGGTGGTTTGAAACTGAGAACTACAGATCCCATCTCAGACAGTCCCGGCTACTGCTATTGGAAACGACACCTGATTTACTCATCTCCGTGCATTGCCTGGAAGTTGGAAAGCTCTAGGCACCCAGAATAAAGCCTTTAAACTCTGTCTATACAGGCCACTGGACACAGCCATACGACCGGAAGCTGTGCCTCGAGGCCAGGGA